CACTTCCTTAGAAAGTACATCTCAATTTGCAAAGAAACGTGACGCGGGCAGAAGTTCCCACAAATTTTTCACCCGGCCTGCTTGAACTCCTGAATTCGCTGGGCTGGCTCCGACACTTAAGAAATCTGATTTTCTCCTCACGTATATCGAAGGATTACTCGGGTATTCGTCTTCGAGCAAGGCGACCACTTCATTTCGGATATCCACAAACAACGGACGAGTCGTCCCTTCGATATCCTCTTGTTTTTCCCTACTTTAACTTCGTCCCTTGTGCTCCTCACGAAGGCAGAATATGAAGCTATACTTTCCATTGTCACGAAGAAATCAGAATAAATCAATACTGGACGAGAACTTCGACACATCGTTCGAAACGCAATCAAGGGAGCTAAACTTCAAATTCTTTTCAAGATAAATAATACCGTGATGTTACTATTTTATAAAAATCTACGGTGCTATTACCGAGCTCTTAAAATATTTTATCTAGAGTAGTCGTAGAAAATGACAAAAACGGGAATACACATTTTTTGAAATTTAAGCACAAAATCTGGAATCTAATTTAATATTAGTATTATTAATTTCAGTGTGATCGATATTTAACAGTTCGACGCGCTTTTCGAATTGTTCCAAAATCTGTTGTTGTAAATGAAAATGTGTCTTCTTGAAATTATCGAGAAGAACCTCAGACGTGTACGTTTCCTAAATAATCCGAAGTTGTATAGAAATATAAGAACAGTGTGACCAGACAGTTAAGAAACGATGAACGAGTTATATAACGTTACGTATTCGCGTCGAAATGATGTAAGCTGGATTTGATACGTACGGTGCTGCAACAACGTTTCCCGTGAATGTGAAAAGAATATTTGTAAGTGAGCGGTTCTGGGAAATGAAGCTGCATCGGTCAGAAGGAACTGTCGGACCACATTTACCCCCTTGCCCTCCCTTATTCCTCTCGTTCATTCTCCCTCTCCTGTAAAATCAATAGGTGCGTCGGCGTCCGGCACGATAGAATTCTGCCATATAACCTCGGACGATTTACTAAAAATCGATCAAACTCGACGTGTACACCGGACACGGCGAAATAAGCTGTGTGAGATTTGCTACGCTGCGAACTATGAGAACGATGAACCCTCCTTTGTAATACAAAAATTATGGTGATACAAGAAATATTTTCCACCGTGTCATCTTTTTACGTTTAAAACAAATAATTAAGTAGCATACAATGTATCGGATCTGCCAGAGTAAACGAAAAATAGATTAAAAATTATTATTACGCTATTGCATCGGTCCCCCCCCCCCCCCCCCC